TGTAAATGATATTTTGACATTATTGGCTATTACTGTCATGGCATCCGAAGGTACTGATGCGTTGAGCAGGTGACAGTCCGCGGCCGTTTTCAAAACACACTTGTGTCACGCACTCCAAAAGAAACTTGTTGAAACTTTAAACAATAATTTATTGTACAAAACGGGGGAAACAAAAGTTGACAAAAACGGTTCCATAATTCATATTAAATTCAAAAGCTAACGAAAAAACAGCTACAAGTTAGAGGGAATAGTGATAAAGTGGTAAAACTTGGCATTGATCCACAGCCTCAGACGGATGCGCTCAAGCGTGACGTGCACACAAGCTCCGTTGGTAGGATACTATATTTTCACATTTTTAACAATGCAATTTAAAAGTTTTGATTTTTATTCATAACCTACATTTACCAACAACAAAAAGACTACATTTAGCACCAAAAAATATGTAAAAAAAAAAAAAAAGGTAAATAAAAAAACGAATATCGAATACCAAATTTTCATAATGAATACCTACCCATAGAAACAAATATTCGAATATCGGAATATTTGGGTACAGCCCTACTAATCGCCAAAGATTTTTCACATTTCTCATACTTTTGCTCACATGTAAATAAATGAATATTTTCTCTCAGAATGAGTCTCTCCTGATCGAACATCAAACGGGCTGCAGCTGACAGGTCTTTCCTCTTTTTCCCTACATCTTTGTTTTTCATTTCTAGTAGTAGTTCTTTGGCCCTCAAGGTGGGGCGGCCCATATGGCATTTGCCAGAATCCCTCAATGGCCAGTCTGAGCCTGGTTAGGTTTATGTTATAGCTGGAAAAACATTATACTTTGCCTTAAAATACCTGGCTTTTGTGCCACAGTCGCTGCTGGAAAATGCTGCTGATGACTCTGTAAAAAACACCAAGTTTTGGAGTTTGTTGGTCTCAAACTGTGGTCTGCAGCGTGGCAAGCGTCTCACCTAGATGTCACACCATCCACCATCCACCAGCCCCTCCTCCTCCCATTGACAAAGTCACTTCATATACTAGTAATCTGAATTACATCCTTTAGGAAACATTGATATAATATGTATGAAACATACAATCTTAAATGATATCTGTGGTTTGCAGAAACGCCAATGCCAACATTTTTTACCTGCAACTGGGCTGTGCAACGAGAGTATAAACAGAACCATGACTGTTGTGTACCGTTACACCTCCACATGTCAGCGGCAACTACTTTATAAGACAATAATAAATCAGATGTTGAGTTTACAAACTGTTCTGCTGCTGTGTAGACAAAAGACGAAGAGATACAGCCTTAAAGTTTGACTAATTTTTAAAGGTAACTTTTATATGACGCTTTGTTGAAGTAGTTTTGATCATTATTATAATTCTCAATTATCAGACCAACTGTTCCCCTCGTGGCCCCGCCCCCCTCTCTGATTGGCTACCTGTATAATGTACAGGTTTACATAATGAAGACGGAGCGAGTCAAAGATCAGTAAAACTTCAAAGTATTAATCACGCAGCACGTTAATGAAATGTTTCCCTGTAAGGTGATGACCTTCATGTGAAACTGAAGTTTGAGCAGCAACAACTTCAGAATGAAAGTGAAGATACCTTCATCACCTTCTGCTGCTAATTACCTCCTCATCATCATCATCATCATCCTCCTCTCTGATCTGTTCTTCACTAATTACAACAGCTGACCTCCTGCCAACACTCGTGTGTGTGTGTGTGTGTGTGTGTGTGTGTGTGTGTTAGCGAAGGTGGACTCTTCTCTCGTTAAAAGACGTGATTAAAATGACTTTTGACCTCTCGCCTCTGCTGGTTAAAGTTCAGCTGCCACAGTCGATGTTCAGTCTGTTTGTCAGACGAGACGAGGACGCTTTTTGCTGACAGCAGCTCATGAATAAATCAGACCAGAGTTTGTGTTGTAAAAAATATTCTCAGCAGCAACAAAATGTTTTTGTGAAATAAAACACTAATGTAAACATGGAGGTTTCAGAGCTGCAGCACAGAGAGCAACAGGTCCCATTAATACAGGAGCACATCACAGTTTACGAGGTAGCAGAGATGTAAATACAGAATCTGCTCTAAAGCCAAGCTCAGAATTTTTCTGTATAAATGTAAAATATAGTATCTTCCTGTATATTTAAGTTCCTAAAATAAACAATAGTCTAATAATAAAGCAATTAATAACGTGCATGTTTATTTACACCGAATAGTTTCTGCTTTGTGTCTAATGAACACGTGGCCTGCTGTATGATCTGCACTGTAAATGTGTTGCTGTGCAGCAGCGTTCACTGAAAAGCTTTCTTGCTGTGTTTTCTGTCAGACCAATCTGAGGCTGTGGTTTATAACTATTATGGGATGCAACCTCGGTCTGGTCTGTTAAACACAATAAACCATCAGCAGTCCACTGTGTGCTGATGTTTTTATTGTTTCTCTGCAAAGAGCCTTAAAAACATGTTTCTGTTTCCTCCGAGAACCGTCACCTTATCGTGGTGGAGGAGTTTGAGTGCCCAAATGACCCTAGGAGCTGTGCTGTCGGGGGCATTTTGCCCCTGGTAGGGTTTCCCATGGCAGATTGGTTCTGGGCGAAGGGTCAGACGAAGAACCCAAAGGACCCTTCATGATGGATATTAACAAGGACTCGTGTACCCGGCCCGGAGGGTTACCGGGGCCCGGCCCTGGAGCCAGGCCTGGGGTTTGGGCCCATGGGCGAGCGCCTGGTGGCCTGGCCGGGCCCAGCCCGAACTGAACTAGTTCCAGCTCTGGAACCCAAGTCTTTGAGAGGGGTTGGACTCTCTCCTTTGCTGGAGTTGCTCCGGGTGAAAAGCGGAGGGCCGGGGTGGGCTTTCTGACAGCCCCCAGACTCTCTGCCTGTACGTCAGGGTTCACCCCAGTAGATGAAAGGGTTGCTTCCCTGCGCCTTCGGGTCGGGGAACAGGTCCTGACTGTTGTCTGCGCTTCTGCACCGAACAGCAGTTCAGAGTACCCGCCCTTTTTGGAGTCCCTGGGACGGGTGCTGGACAGTGCCCCGACCGGGGACTCCAATGTTCTGCTGGGGGACTTCAACGCTCATGTAGGCAATGACAGCAGGACCTGGAGGGGCGTGATTGGGGGTAACAGCCTGCCCGATCTGAACCCGAGAGGTGTTCAGTTATTGGACTTCTGTGCGGGTCTCAGTTTGGCCATAACGAACACCATGTTCAAACATAAGGATGTCCCAAGAATTCTGATTCCACCTGTTAGAGTTCTTTCATACATCAGCTGCTGAAGGTTTCTGACCGACTGCATCAGGATAATTCAGGTCAACTGTTTGACAAGTGCTCAAAATCAGAGCTTCAGGAGTGTCAACCCTGCAGGTGACAACACATTCTCACTGCGACCTCGTCACATATCCACATTCAGTCATGGACTTTTCACATCGAGAGACGACGTCCAAAGTACCCTGGGTGTGTTGGCTGTTGACGTTCTGGGACGTTCACAGGAAATGTACAGTTTGCATACAGTCTCTTTTAAAACAAACGCGGTAAAACACCAAAAATTGTTTTCCCTTAAACATCACACACACATGGTTGGGTTTAGGAAAAAAGAACAAGGTTTGGCTTTACAGTCTTACAGTAACTGAGCGCTGGCCTCCTGGGTCAAAGTTGGTATTTTTTGGACCCATCAATCACCCCTCCCACCTGCCTGACTCAGACTTTAATTTTTGTCCCACTGCGTTATCCCCTGATACTGCCGGGCACCATAAAACAGTAACGGCAACTGACCATGTATCGTGCTGATGTAATAGAATGAATTTTTTCATCGTCTGACACTGGAAGTCACTGACCAAAAGCCGGATTATGACGACTTCAGAGGGAGGCCAGGGGGCTCATGATGGCATCACTGTTGGTCAGGTTACAGTCTGACATTTTTTTGGCTATGTGTAATGAGGTCCTTAAGTCCAGAATGAGGTGGTGATGCACATGAAGCTGTTTTGCAGGTGACAAAAAGAACAGACAGAGAACAGAAGAAGAACTTTTACTGTTAGTTACAACAGCAAAAGTTCAGCTGGCGTTTGCTAACCACCATCCAGTGGATGACTGACAGCTTTCCACAGACTGTTTACCTGCAGGCAACCAAAGCCAGAGAGTCTGCGTACATATGCAGCTATCTACACAGACTGTGTTGAGGTCACAGATCTCTGACTCACAGACATTTACAAGTTTTCTACATCAGGCTAGATAAGTTTTAAACCTTTCTAGAGGTGTTTGAACAGTCAGGTTTCCTGAGTGCAGACGGGGTCAGCTGACAGTCTGCAGGAGCACATGAGCTGACACATAACATAGAAACTGTAATCATCAGTTTTACAGAGCACAAAACTTTACTAAGCAGACAGGTTCATCTTCACTCTGTCTTCTAACTCCCCTCTTCTTCCTCTTATCTTCCTTCATCAGTATCATATCAGCTGTTTTCACTTCAACTGTGTTTCAGTTGTCGTCCTGCCTGTCAGCACACTGACGTCTCTGCTGTCAGAGATCAGACTCATCTCGTTCTTTCAAGAGTCATTTCTACATGTTTAACTCTGTCAGCTGTGTCCTGAAATTCACTGTAAAATGAACAAACATCTGCAGCCTCACCATCAGTCTCCAGAGGAAACGCTCATCCAACTCACATCTCAGATCCCAGTCCGTCAGTAACACGTCTCTAAACTGCAGACCACGGTCGGCTCAAATTTGTTTCCTTCCTGCAGCAACAAAAACTAAATGAATTCCTGCTCTCCACCTGCAGCAGTCCATCCATCCTTCCCATGATGCACCTGTGCAGCCTCCAGCTCCCAACCAATCCCATCAGAGGAAAACAAGCTCTACTGGTTCTAAAAACAAAAACTAATTTCTTACAGAAAGTCCTGGAGTCAGAGAGTGTCAAGAGACGCAGCCGCACATTGTGGTTTTGGTGTTTTCATGAGATTCACTGACAATAAGAAAAATATAATAATATAACATCAGATGTTGTGTAACGTTTACCAGATGTCAGACTTGGAGTCGTAGCCCTGGTGGTTCAGCACCTCTGGGCTCATGTAGAACGGAGTACCGGTGAAGGTGGTGGCGAGGTCACATGATCCCATCAGCAGGCAGGAAACTCCAAAATCACCTAGAAGAGATGAGAAACAACAGGCTCATTAAAATCTAAAGGGTTCAATCAATCAATCAATCAATCAATCATTTATTTGTTTGTTAAATGGAACTATACAAAATACAACTCCAGTGAAATGTGATTGTGTGATTATCTGTAGTATTTTTGTTGTATGTTTTTATTTTGTGAAGCACTTTGTGTTGCATTGTTAATATATGAAAAGTGCTATATAAATAAAGTTTGATTTGATTTGATTTGATTCCATCAGCTCCTTTAACTTAATTAACTTTAACGTAATTTAGTCCTTTTTAGCATATTGCTACATGGTTGGCTGCTGCTTTGTAATCGTCCATGTTTCCGGATGGTTCTGGTGATCTGTGGTCTCTGGTTGTGGAATGATTTAACTGTCATCACATCCCAACAAGACGGCCTCATGGTCGCTCCTCCTGAACACGAGCAGTGCTGCTCTACAGCCACCTCTGCGTATCGCAGTGATCCACGGCAGGAACAGGACAGCACCTCACATTCCCACTGTCACACCAGTCCTTCTTCACTGTAACACACACTCCGCTCTCTCCTCTGCTCTCAGATCAGCATATAGTTACAGAGTCACCTGCCCAGGATTTAGCCAAGTTTTAGTGAATCAAAGGATGATATAGTTCCTGATATCCTGTTGGAAACTGATGTGACAGTTTATTTTCAATGTCTGCACAATAACTAGCAGGATGCTAGTTCGGCTGGAGCCATCTTCTCCATCTTTTCCTCGATGTTTACTGATGTTTACATTTGAAATCCCCAACCTAGCAGAGGTCCGCAGGAGGAGAGTTTACAGACTGATGAGTGCATGTCCTCATCCTGATGAGTGACTCGCAGCCACACACCATCATCGTCCGAAGCCAAACACAAAAAGCACCACCAAGACTTACAAAATAAACACAAGAGCCTGTATTTAGCCAAAATTTACAGGTAGTCCAAATTTAGCAGACTGACAGAGAGGCCACAGGAAATGTCTGCACCTACGTCATAAAAAGTCATAAAGGGTTCATCCTCTGGAGAGCAGGAACATGATCTACTCTGCCACATCTCACATTATATTTTTTACTTGACTACATTTATCTGATAACTTTAGTTACTTTACAGACTCAGATTATTAATACAAAATATAAAATAATCAAAATGAGCTGAGTTGCAACATTAAAGTGATGAACACAATAATTCATCAATAATTAGAATCCTATTATATAATGTATATTGTTCTGAAATGAGTCACTCTGCATGAAGTGATTATTAGGGTCCGGGCAGCTAAGCTGCCAGGACACTACTGTAATCCTAGGTATTCTTCTTCTTCTTCTTTCTTCTTCCGAGGAAATCATACTTCCCATGGGTGAAAACTCACCAAACTTCGCACAAAGGTCCAGTCTCATGCCAGATATCCTCAGCTGTAAACTCAAGCCAATAGTCCTGATGGTGGCGCTACAGCAAGCGTCTAAAGTTCAAAAAAATTCAAAACAAATCAACCATACGTGCTACAACTTCACAACTTTCATCAAACTGTAGCCCCAATACTGAAGAAACTTTTGTACATTTAAACCTATTAAAAATTATGAAGTTCATCACTCTGTTTTTTTTCAAAAACTGTAAAACTTAAACCTATCTCCTCCCACAGTTTTTGCTCAATTGACACCAAACTTGCTACAGAGCATCTTCAGACTGTCCTACACAAACTATGTTTCTCAGATTTCTCAGATTCTCAAAATTGAGCCTACAGTGCATCAAAATGTTTCACTGTAAACGGTACTGTAAACATACACATGCAAATTCTTGCTAAATAAATCTTCAATGTTCTTGAAAAAAAGACAAAATTCTAGAGTCATGGTAGATGATGTGTGGCAGATTTCAGAATTTTATCTCAAAAACTGAATTTTTGACAGCATTTTGAATTTTGAATGTGAACAATTGGAGTCAATGTAAAAATGGCAATTTTAAACATCAGTTTTTCACTTATGGAGCAAATCAATCATTGTTACAAACAAATTACCAACATCTCCATGCTGTCTAGATGCAATATGTGTATTTTCAGATTTTTGTTTTGATAACTGAATTTTTTACAGTGGTTTGAAATCTGCTTTTCCATGCATGGAAGGCTGCTAAACCTGCACGTCTGGCTTAGTCAGTTTGTAAAGCTACACATGAATTGTCACTGACTAATTAGCTCAGTGAGATAGAAATTGATTCTTAGTCTCAGAGGTTGTGAGTTTAAGCCTCAGCTGATGCAAAAGGCAGATTGTGTTGCTAAATTCCTAAATGTCTTCCAATTCTTCTGCTTGTTGCTCAGAATTGCCTAAAAATGCCCAGACCCGACACATCGCTGCACAGCAGCTATAATTACTTTTACTTTTGGTACTTTGAGTATATTTTGAGCCTTATAATTTTGTTCTTAAGTGAGGTTTTATATGGAGGACTTTTACTTATAAAATGAGTCTATGCTGTGGTATTAATATTTTTACTAAAGTAAAAGAGTCTTTCTCCCATCACTGACATCAGAGGACCAAACACAGACACTGATTAAAGAGCCTTTCTTTCAGCCCGTCCTGCTGAAGAACAGAAGCTGAGAGTTAAAGAACAGAAGCTGAGAGTTAAAGAACAGAAGCTGAGAGTAAACGGCCGTCTGGACAGAGGTGTGAGGAAGGTGTGCAGCTCAGAGACAGACAACAGGTGTAAACACAGACACAGATTAAAGGAGCAGAGAAAAGAGCCAGGAGCTATGTGCCTCTTTTGTCTCTCTTTCATCTCTTTAGAAAGACACAGATGTAGTCTCTCGTGCTGCCTTGTGGTTTGTAATTTGTACTCAGTTGTACATGTCGTTTAATAAAATGCTTCAAGACTTGTTGCCTCTCCTCCTCTCACCTCGTTCAATACTGTCCTGTCTCACCTGTACGACTTGTTGTCCTGTCTGATAATGGAGTACATGAAGCAAAGCTCTCGACTGAGCGATCTACAAGACCATCATTTGTCTAAAAAACTAAGTGTTCAGAGATTTACAGAACAGATGCACAATACTGGAATATATGCTGATATGTAACAGCTAATGTGGCTGATAACTAACATCAGTATATCAAACTGCTGACACAACCAAACAACAAACAACCACATCATAACAAAAACGTAGCCTGGTAAAAACTGCGGATGAATAAGATTTGCCGTCTAAATGATTTAACGTCCGCCCGTCGCTAGTCAGCACCAGAAATATTAGTTGGTTAAACCAATAAGTGCTTAACTGTCATGCAGCCGCCCGCCACTAGTGGGTGCTACAGAGCCGTCAGACAGCAGTCCCCCTCCCCGCGGTAATGCTGCAGTAGACTGGAGGTTTAAACTGGAGAGATGTCCTCTCACAAAACCAGCACGGTTTGGCAGCACTTTGATGTAGAACATGAATTCAGCAGCAATGAATCTTTTTTGAGACGTTATATTATTTGTTAACTTTAAGAGTTGTTGTCAGATAATGTGCAGGTTCACATTCATACTGCACGCAGCAACATGCCTCTTAATTATAATCTACATATTGTTTTATTAACTTTAAAGTGAAGTGCATCGTTTCTGTCAGATAATGTGCAGGGTTCAGTGTGCCCCACATTTCAGAGGCAACTTATTTATTTTAGATGTTATTTTAGTGGTTAACTTTTGACTGAGTTACATGTTCACATTCATACTGCACGGCACAAAGTCTCGTACTTCAACGGCATTTAAAATCCAACATGGTTGTTGAAGATTGTGATTAAAGGCTTCAAAGAGCTCTGAATGCACACAGTGTTTTGGGCCAATGTTTTAAATACTTAACAATACTTAACAATAAATTGTGCCCCCCCGTGGATGACGGCGCCCTCAGCATTCGCCTACACTGCCTATTCTACAGGACGACACTGGTGTGTGCAGCCTTACATCTGTCATCATTGTGTAAACTGTAAACAGGTCTATAAGCAATAACTCATAGAGTTATACAGTGACAAGTCTGCAGGTGTTGGATTTATCAGCCTCGCCCGACTCTGGCTGCTCGAAGTGAAGACATCAAGTTTATTGAGTTAGTGAGATTTTTATAGCAGCAGCGCCGATCATTTAGCGGTGAGACGGCGCCCTGTTGAATTCATAACGGGGAAATACTGCCAGTGTATATGTGGTGGTGTAAACAGAGATTTAAATATCCACAGCTCATTTCATGCTCTAACACTTGCATGTCTGTGTGTGTGTGTGCGTGTGTCAGCGTAAACTGAGATGCAAATATACAAATTTATTTTCTCAGTCAGCTGAGTAACTTTCAGCTGATCCACAGCCTCTCTGCTCCGTGTGTGTGTGCAGCTGGTGATCAGAGTTTGGTAAAAGTCCAAAACTGCCGACAGCAGGAAGAATCTGCTGAGCTAACACTCCAAATATAAACTGGTTCTCTCTGTTTAATATGGACTCATCATTAACCGCTGGCACGCTTCTATTTATGATTCACTTTTAGGAGTTTCTGTTGTGAGGGGGGGGTGGGGGCTTTGAACGCAGCACAAGAGACCCTGAATACACACACACACACACACACACACACACACACACACACTCATATAAACACACATGTATGCTCTGTGAGATTTCAAACAAATATTGAGAGAGTCCCATGAGCCTTTGCAGCAGCAGGAGGAAACTCACCGATTTTAACGAGGTTTCGCTTCAGGAAGACGTTCTTGGCCTTCAGATCTCGGTGGAGGATTCGCCTGCAGAGAGCAGCGCAGCGTCAAGACAACAGGACAAAAGCCAATCACATTCATTTATCAGTCCCGCAGTTTAGCGATGGACAGCACATGTGACAGGCAGAGGCTGACCCTGTCTGGTCCCAGTTCATTTCATCTATTGACTAGTTGACCTTTGACCTGCAGCCGTCCGCTGTGACGCTGCGAGCTTCCTAATGGAGCTCATTACACTTATTATCCAGAAAATGTTAAATATGCACGAGAGCAGAAAGAAGAGGAGGAAAAAAGAAAAAAAGAACATGCACTCAAGGAGGCAGTGGGAGAAATGCATGTTGCCATGGCAACCGTATCCCCCACCTGTCATGCATGTAGTGAAGGCCGAGCAGCAGCTGGACGAGCCAATCGACGACCTGGATTTCTGGGAGGCTCCGCCCGGCGCATCTCACCTCCTCCAGCTTACAGTCCAGATCCCGATCCTGACGGAGGGAGGGACAGGAGGCAGGCTGAAGTTAACACACATGACGTGGGTCAGAAACATGTGAAGAGTTTCATATTGATCTGATGAACTGTCACAGAGTCCAGAGGAGGAGGAAGGTGTCGTTTCTTCTGACGGCACAGAAACACTAAAGAGGATCTGTTTTATTTTTTACTATGTTTCTATTCATCTTCAGTCAAGTCTGCTCTATTTATACAGCAAGGAATCTGTGTGTGTGTGTGTGTGTGTGTGTGTGTGTGTGTGTCCGCATATCTCAAGAAGCATTTGAACACACGACACATTTAACATCAATAAACTTTGAATATACAAGTGAACAGCAGTCTCGGGGCTTCAGGGCTCTGATTCACTTTTACTGCTGGTTGTTGGTAACAGTAATTGGACTTGCACTTGTACAGAGCCTTTTTAGTTTTGCGACAGCCATCAGGAGCATTATGGGGTTCAGTATCTTACTCAACATGTGGACTGGAGGTGCTGATCCTCCGATTAGTGGACGACCTGCTCTACATCCTGAGCCACAGCTGCCCGATAAACATATGCACAACCGAACCCTTCTTCACTCTCCTGGAATCAACGAACAGGAGCAGATAGCTCACAGGAACAACGCCACTCCATCACTGCAACTCAAACTGTGTCAGTTTGCCGTACTGACATATAACACTAAAAACATTAAAATATTTCCGCTAATTTAACCCATGCCTAACTTAACAGTAAATCTGAGGTGTTTCTGACAGCAACTAGCCGCGACTTAAAGGAAAACTTCACTCACATGTTGACGATTAGTCATGTTGTGTTATCTTGAATTTGTGAAGAAAACCTTGTTTTTCTCACATGGCTCTACAGAAAACAGTGAACATACTGGTTTATTGATTAATTGAGGACCAAATGTTACAATAGCAAACTATATCAAAACATCCAAACTCTCACAACTCATGCAGAACAAACAAAAACCTGTCTGTCTTTGAAGAGAGCAGATGAGTTTCTCTTTCAGTTCAGTGTTAAACACAAAGGTTTTAGTTAAAATGGGGTCTGCCCATTGGTCCGACATCCCATTGGTCCGACAGCCCATTGGTCCGAAATCATCATGATGCCCTGTGGTTAAGGTCTGGTTAGGTTTAGGCACAAAAACCACTTGGTTAGGGTCAGGAAAAGATCATGGTGTGGGTTAAAATGAAAAAGAAAGTGACAAACACATAAGCCGTGAGCCTGCTCCGCCTCAAGCTTTGGTGTGGGAATAAAGCACGGGAGCAGCAATACATTGTGTGCGACAAATCCTGATTTCTCCTGCTTCGCCTCAAGCCTTTCCCAGCTGACCCAGAGCCGTCGCGGCGCACCATCAAGGCAGAAATACGCCCGCCGGGAGCCGTTGAGCACCGCGGAGAGCTCCCCACACAACCCGGACCCCAGAGTTAAAGGGAGATTTCGGTTTATTTCAACCTGTCTCCTATCGTCCTAAATTTGTTTCAAGTGACTAGTGACATAAAAATAATAGTTAGCATGTTAGCCGTTAGCCTAGATACAGCCGGGGCGTATAGTAGCGTCAGACCTGTTAAAACCTAAGTGAACGGGCAACCTTCAAGTGCAAAGTTAGTCCACTAAACAAGCTTTTTTTCCACAAAGACCGCCTCATATCGTTAGGATAAATGTCAGAGAACATATAGAAAACGACATGTAAACGTGTTGTCTTACCTTACCGGTGTGCTGCCATGATTGTTTACCATCTAGCTCTGCTTTCCAAAGCGCGGCCGAAATATATCTGGCGAGCTCTAGATAAAGCCCAGCTGGATGCTGCTCCAGGTGGAGGTGTCTCGTCCTCGGTCACATCCAGACCTTGAAAATAAGGCTGCAACAGGTCCCATTCCTTGCAACAGAGGCATTCCTCTTCTGTGGGCACTGGGGCACAGCATTCACAGGTACACCACCAATCTCCAGAGCTACGCAGCCTTGCAGCAGCCATTCCTCCTCTCTCGTCCTCTACCTGTTGCGCCTCTCTCTCTCTCCTCCTCCGTTCTTCAATTTCACGAAGCTCTTCGTCAGTGTGTTCTGGCTCAAATAAATAAGGGCGGCCATCAAACTCTGCAAAATCAAATTCCTCCTCCACAAAGTCGAAGTCTGGCAAAAAGTCAGCCATTATTCTATAAATCTTTCATAAAATAAATGAATGAACTTTTCAGGCTACTGTCCGGTTCTGCCTTCCAGCTGTTGCTGCTTGTTCTCGCGAGATTTCAGGCACGATATGAGATCGCTGCTTGTTCTCGCAAGATTTCGGCCGCGCTTTGGAAAGCAGAGCTAGATGGTAAACAATCATGGCAGCACACCGGTAAGGTAAGACAACACGTGTACATGTCATTTTCTATATGTTCTCTGACATTTATCCTAACGATATGAGGCGGTCTTTGTGGAAAAAAAGCTTGTTTAGTGGACTAACTTTGCACTTGAAGGTTGCCCGTTCACTTACGTTTTAACAGGTCTGACGCTACTATGCGCCCCGGCTGTATCTAGGCTAACGGCTAACATGTTAACTATTATTTCTATGTCACTAGTCACTTGAAACAAATTTAGGACCTCTTGTTATTAATTTCCCTTTAATAACAGGAGGTTATGGTGTTTCATTCTCTTCTCTCTATGACACTTGTATCTCGACCAGTAGCCTACTTTTGTTGCGTTTGCTGATCCTCTATGGTTCACAAATACAGTATAGCCTAGTATAATCACATATTGGAACAACGAGACGTCGGACCAATGGGCTGTCGGACCAATGACATGGACCCGTTAAAACTCGGGTTTGGGAAGTACTGAGCATACGATCGGATAAATGAGAGTTGGATTATACTGCAGGAGTTGTTTGATTTGTTTCCTACTGCTAAATGCTAAATGTGTTCGCCAAGTTAGTTAGAGCAGTCTGGTAAGTTCAGAAAATTAGATCACTTTACTACGATGCAGCCTTTAAAACCAAGAAAAGAAAACACTTTAGATATTACGATATCCATATCATATCATGATGTCGATAAAATATTGATGTATAGCCCAGTCTTAACTCAAATTAAATGAAATTTATGATCTACGCCAATCGTAAGCCTGGAGGGGTTCATGTGTTTGATCATGTGTAAGTGTGTGAGTGTCTGCTGCTAATCTTGCAAACTACTGGACCAATTAGCCTCAAATTTGTGTGCACGTGTGTGACTGTATGTTCAAGGACCTCTCACAGTCCAAAGTTTTCCAAATATCGTCTCAGCAACAAACTTTACAATCTGTTGCAGGACACATGTTGGCGTTCGTCATGGTTCAAAAACTGACATGCATGGAAAACTTTGGTCTCATTTTCAGCCAGAGCATCTGCAGATTAATTCTTCATATATACAGAGTTGTACTTCATGTCTCCATCTGCTGGTGGGCCGTCACGATAAGAGTATGCTTGTATAATATGATGTTAATGTCACTACAGAAGAGACTTGATGATCACTGAAATTAGGTGGGAAATAGTGGATATATCGATATCAGTATCGGCCAAATGAATATATATATATCAGCATATTGGATATCGGTATGAAATCCAATATTGTCCATCGCTACCAGAGTGTTTAAGCTGCCTACTTTTGTGCCTCTACCATCAGTAGTTAAGTCAGCATGCTGTGTAGTAAATGCTTAGTTTTTTTTGTCAGTTTTAATTGTTGTTACATCCTTCTTTCTTGTGCTGCAGCCTACAGAGAAAGTTAGTACCATTAAAGTCCAGATATGAACAACACACACATACATTCATCCTCATAATTATATTTTATCTATATTTCACATACAGTACTGTAAACTCGACCTGCTCTGTCAAAAATAGATGTGGCGTGTATTTTTAATAGCTTTTGGGACGCTTTTGAAACGAGCTGTGGTGCGTCTTAAGAACAGCGGAGAGTGGCCGTGATCAGCTCGGGCGGCCTCCTGGTGAAGATCTGCCCTCCACTGAGTGCACTTCTCTAGTTTCACAATTAGACTCATTATAAATAAATAAAATGTGATTAGTATGAATAGGAAAGCAAGGGGGAAAAGACCAGAAATACATTTACACAGAGGTTATAAGTTGTAAGCAGCCCCAGATGCAACAGAGGAAATAAAAGTGCAGCGGAGAAACTGATCGAAGGAACAGGAGAACAACTGTTTTTAATTTGGATTTGAAAGCAGACGTTGGGGCACATTTGAGATCAGCACAGTGAAGGCTGCTGAAGACCACGAGTATTAAATAAACAATGGTGTTCGAATGTCTTTCTAAATCCGGCCGCCCTTTTCAAACCATCTGACGTGAGACACATAACACACTGCTGAGAAAGGTTTTGATCCGAAGGTGGATTTTTTATTATTAGCATTAATGTGAGTGAGGTCTGATGTGTAGATGGATCAGGTACGGTGTGTTCTCACATCTCTGTAAATACAGTTTAAAATCTTCCATGTGAATAAAAGGCATGCATGCATTTTCTGTTTCATAACCAGGCTCAATTTCTTTATTCAGTTTCTTCTCTAATGGGCTGCAGTGAAAGCCTGGAGTCCTCCACAGCTCCGCAGGGGATTGTGGGTAATGGTCTGATCAGAAACAATAGCTCTGAGGGTCTCCGAGTGCATGAGAGCTTTGATTGGACAGAGTACATGTTTCAGTGTGTGTGTGTGTGTGTGTGTGTGTGTGTGTTTCCCTCTTTTAAAATCAAACTATGAAGAATCAGCTGTTCTTGGTGAGAAATGAATCCTCAGAGCTGATGTCGCTTCCTGTCTGTTTGTATTTATACTGATGCACAAATGCAATAAAAGATAAAAACAAGTTAACCAGCAGAGAAATGAGTGAAGCTCAGAGGGGGAATTAAAGCCTCGGGCGATGCTGGAGCTGCAGAGTGTCATTGAGCTGCAGGGGGAGGACAGCTGATAACGAGGGGGGGATCACCACAGAGTGACGTGTACGAGGAGAAAACACCGTGTGTGGGAGGGAGAGCGAAATATGAGAGTGGA